CCAATTACCAAGGCATTGTTGATTGGAGCACTGTGCAGGGGGCATGTTGCAAAGCTGGAGACAAGGACCTTTCTATGTGATAGCAGCGGTCCGGCTCTCCAGCTTGCTGCCACCACAGGGCAGCTTTTTACCCTTTTAAGCACTAACGCAGGCTAACAAAGTAAAAACAGCATATTCTTTACTAGTCATGTATGTTCATACACAGCAGTCATAAAAAGTAAGACTACAATTGAGTTTTAACGCCCAACTCCAGAATGGAAAAAAAAAACCCTTGCAGTGGGACCTCATTAAAGGAGAACTATGGGGTCAGTGTTTTTCCCCATAGTTCTCCTTAGGGTAACGGGAGGACACAAACTAGCGTTCTCCCGTTACCCTAAGCTCAGTATACGGAGACGCCGCAGCCGGAGCGGATCCCGACTTAGATGACGGGATCCGCCCAGCTGTGTGAGTGACAGCTGGCTCTGCCTTTCTAGAGGCAGAGCCAGCTGTACCCGCCCCCTCCCCCCGTCCTCTCCGCCAGTCAGCGCTGGCAGATCGGAGCGGGGAGAGGGGAATCCAGCCCCTCCCCCTGTCACGGCAGAGAGCCGTGACAGGATCGAGAGATGAGTGAACCCGGTATGTGTTCGCTCACCTCCCGATCTACTGAACCGACCTGTGACAGTCTCATTGTCACAGGTCGGCTAGAACTATGAGGTGAGTGAAAAGCACTCACCTCATAGTTCTCCTTTAAGTCTGTAAGGCTGTATTATTTACCATATACCTTGCTCCGACAGGCTACGGTGCTCTCCTTTTCTCTCTGATGCTCTGGGGTGTGGACAGGCCCTCAGGGTCATCACGTACAATGCAGGACTGTCAATCCTGCATTGCATGTGAGTAGGCAGGCATGCAACTGTGGCCGTCAGCGTCTTAGAGAACAGGCCTTGGGGACCTGTCACACAGATGAACGGAGCGTGCCGGAGCAAAGAATATGACATTGAATATGAATATCTACAATTTAGACCGAACAACCTCTTAACCCTTGCAAGAGTATTTGTTTTTGCGTCCCCTGTGAAAGAAAGATATATATATATATACTGTATATATAGACAAACCAAATGGACAGATAATAGTTATTGTGTTGCACTCACCTTTCCAAAGCGCTGCTGATGTTGAAGATACAGAGAGCCCTGTTTCACCAATCCCCCCTCCATCACTTTCCACCGTGTCGCTACAGTGCTCACTTCCCTACTTATCCCACCGCTGATCCCTCTGTACTGCACTCAGTCTGCAATAGTGACTGACTATCCCTGGAAGACAGCCTCTGCAGTCTCTGAACCATGAACGCTCTCTGAAAAGTCGACTTCCTCAGCTCCAAATACCGTCCTCACCCATCATCTCAATTTTCTAACAGCTCTGTAACACCCAGAAACACTCTCGTCACTCTGCCACCAACTTCCCTTTGCGCGTCTGTGTCAACCTTTTATGGACTTTTCATGCTGCGATTCAGTCACTCTCTCTAACACGGCCTGAGTTCATTGAGTCTCACATGGTCTGTCTACGTCCCTCTTGGCAGTCTCTTTCTGTATGTTGCATCCTGACACTTGCAGCCTTCTTCAACCCTGCAGTATTATTTCGCTCTCCCTCTGCCTTGCAGTCTCTCAGTTCCTCCCTCTCTTCAACATGCTTCCGCTGTGAAACTCACCATGTCATAAGAGATGAAAGTCTATCTGTGTGCGCTGCCATGTCCCAAACATCTGTCTCATAATTTAGGTGTACACCTATGTGCATCTGCTAAAACCTATGCGAATACAACAAAGTATTTTTCATGCTTCAGATTGCAGAGGAACTAAACTAAAGAATAAAAGAGAGCAGGCAGGCACTTTATTGCAGAAGAGACATACTATGGGGTCTGTTTATGAGCTATTCGCCCTATGAATCTTTCTGAACATTCATTCGTAATATAATACCGCAATACTGTATTATGGCCACTAGATGGCGTTGATGAGCATGGAAATGAATACTTATTTCCTATGTTTCTCAGCTCCATCTAGAGGCAAAAATGCAGTATTACATTAAATACATTCAACCTAGAAAGAGCATTCGTACTGTGCGTCTATAATACTTATTTCCTATGTTATTCATCTCCATCTAGTGGCCAGAATGAAGTATTACATTAAATACATTCAACCTAAAATGAGCGTTCGTTCTGTGCGTCTATAATACTTATTTCCTATGTTACTCATCTCCATCTAGTGGCCAGAATGAAGCATTAAATTAACTACATGCAACCTAAAAAGAGCATTCGTACTGTGCACCTATAATACTTATTTCCTATGTTACTCATCTCCATCTAAAGGCAAAAATGTAGTATTACATTAAATACATTCAACCTAAAAAGAGCGTCCGTTCTGTGTGTCTATAATACTTATTTCCTATGTTATTCATCTCTATCTAGTGGCCAGAATGAAGCATTACATTAAATACATTCAACCTAAAAAGAGCGTTCGTTTTGTGCACCTATAATACTTATTTCCTATGTTACTCATCTCCATCTAGTGGCCAGAATGAAGCATTACATTAAATACATTCAACCTAAAAAGAGCGTCTGTTCTGTGCGTCTATAATACTTATTTCCTATGTTTCTCAGTTCCATCTAGTGGCCAGAATGAAGTATTATATTAAATAAATTCAACCTAAAAAGAGTGTTCGTTCTGTGTGTCTATAATACGTATTTCCTATGTTATTCATCTCCATCTAGTGGCCAGAATGAAGCATTACATTATATACATTCAACCTTAATTGAGCGTTCGTTCTGTGCACCTATTTGCACAGGCGGAAAGTTCAGAAAGATTCGTAGGGTGAATGGCTCAGCAAATTATTATAATTTTTATTATATAGGATTTATATAGCGCCAACAGTTCAGTATAATACAATTTCAGTACAATAGGGTTAGGAGGGCCCTGCTCGTGAGAGCTTACAATCTAGTAGGAGGGGGCGAGTGATACAACAGCTAATAATTGTGTGGGATGAGTTAATTGAAGAAGTAAAAGGACCAGTTATTATGTTGAGGTGGGATTGGCTTCCCTGAAGAAACGGGTTTTTAAAGGATCGCCTAAAGGTGGACAGAGTAAGAGATAAGAAGACAGATTGGGGTAGGGAGTTCCAGAGTATGGGAGACACTCTGGTGAAGTCCTGGAGGCGAGTATGGGAGGTGGTGACATAAGAGCACGCGAGCAGGAGGTCTTGAGAGTAGCGGAGAGGACAGTTCGCGTGGTATTTCGAAATTAGTTATAAATTGACCCCTAAGTCCCTTCTGCAATGAAACCAGTGTACCTGGCTGTTCACAATCTTCTTCAGAATGTACACCGAGCTGCACATGCGTAGCACAGTGTATGTTCTTGGCACACCTCTGTGCCGGGATAATTGAAAACCTGTGTGCAGTTACTTGTTGTGTTGGCCATGTGTTCAGTAACGCAGCCCAAGGCACCCGGTGTGAATTGGCCCTTAAGTGCATCTTTAGTCTATTTTTAGTTGCGCATAGAGTATGGAAGTGAGAGACGCAACAGGACTGTTTGGTAAGGTTACTACTAGTCCCCATTTCCCAGGGACAGTCCCCGTTTTGATAGGTCTGTACCCAGAAAACAAAATGCCCCCAGCGGCAGTGAACTGCAGTCACATACAGCCAGTGTTGTACATGCTGTGATGTCTTCCTCTAGGACTGACTTACTTAGGCATCACTCACTACTGACCCCTGAATCATTTACTACTGAGCTATGAACTCTGCGTTACTTGCTACTGACCCCTGAACCCTGCGTCACTTACTACTGATCCCTGAGTCACTTACTACTGACCCCTGAATCACTTACTACTGACCCCCGAACCCTGCATCACTTACTACTGACCCCTGAACCCTGCATCACTTACTACTGAACCCTGCATCACTTACTACTGAACCCTGCATCACTTACTACTGAGCTATGAACTCTGCGCTACTTGCTACTGATCCCTGAACCCTGCGTCACTTACTACTGACCCCTGAACCCTGCATCACTTACTACTGAGCTATGAACTCTGCGCTACTTGCTACTGATCCCTGAACCCTGCGTCACTTACTACTGACCCCTGAACCCTGCATCACTTACTACTGAGCTATGAACTCTGCGCTACTTGCTACTGATCCCTGAACCCTGCGTCACTTACTACTGACCCCTGAACCCTGCATCACTTACTACTGACCCCTGAACCCTGCATCACTTACTACTGACCCCTGAACCCTGCATCACTTACTACTGACCCCTGAACCCTGC